AGCTGAGCAAACACGGATTTGAGTGACCTGCCTGAGCTCACACCGTGTGGGTGAGTCTGAACTCTGTCTCTCCACCATACAGTGAGTTTCCTCTTTATCTGACATAAACAGCTGTTCTAAGCAAAGTCAGAAGTTGAAAATCAGGTGTGAAGACTCGCTCATTTTCTTACAGAGGCTTTGAGAACAAAGCACAAGGCTTAAGATAAGGAATAAATTATTGTCCTCAAGGTCCCGTGCTCTCAGGTATGGCCTGGCCAGAAGGGCAGGCTACGGGCACCGTGACCTGGGAGGACTGTATGTTCTTACCCCTGCTCTCCTCCCTATTGGTTGCCTGGCCACCATGTGGTGAACAGCTGTCACCCCCTCAGCCCATCCACAATGCCATCCCAGCCCTGGCACCAGCCAGCCATGGAGTGTACCCATGGAAACCGTGAGCCTAAACGGAGCTCTCCTCCTGTACATTACAGCTTTCCATGCTTGTGTCTAGTGACACGGGAGTGACTGAGACACACAGGATGTTCCGCAGGTTTCAATGTTCTCAGGTGCATAAAATCCACATACTTAGCCTATGGGTCACACACGACAGTCTGCTGGGCCGCAGTGTGTGGGTTATTGTTATTGTCAGATGGTAGACTGTAGCCTCATTGGCTATGCAGTTTATGTGGTTTGAATGAGGTACCTGATGGAGGTGAGGTTGAATGAATTCTTTGGGTACCATTGAGGGTGGCCTGCTCCCCATGGGGCCTGGGCTCTGTTACAGAGGAATGGAGCCACAGTGCCCCCCTGGGCCCCAAAGGACATTGTTGAGTTTATGTTGTGACTCTTCCCAGGTCAGAATTAAGATGTGTTTGAAAATCCTCTGTTGGGAGCCCCTGGAGCTGAAACTGATCCTCGGTGAGAGGCAGGATGAGGCCCCATTGCCTGGAGCAGTCAGGCTCCCTCAGCCTTGAGAAAAACATCGCACTGGACACTGTGGGCTGTTAGTCTCTAGGCAACCTCGTGGCTTGTAACTTTGCAAAGGTATAAATAAAGGCCCCTACTGCTGCTCGGGGTCCTTTGCCAATCAGGCCTAGCCCACCACCTGGCCTCAGCTATCCTCTCGTCTTTCTTTCCTAAAGCCTCTCACTGTTTTCTCAGGGACCCCCGAGAGACCAATGGCTCTCTCCAATTCCACATCAAACTTGAGTGAACACACGGCTCTTTGTGAGTTTTTTGTGGCTTTTTAAGTAAAGCAGCGTCATGGTTTCTCAGTGAGTGTTTCTCACCTTGGATATTTGAAACATGTATGTCATGATTAGAATCTCAGGGGCTTTTCAATTCATATACATGCAGGAGGATCTCTGACACTAAAGCTGTACATCTCCGCTTCCACAGCATCCAGCACTTGCGCGGTGGAATGCGTCCCAGGCAAGCGGCGGCGGGGCTGGCGCGTCATTCTAGGTGTTTCTGCTGTCTTCGCTTTCTAATCTCCCTCCATGAAATATTTAGCTCACTGTCACGTTTGTGATCTTTGCTGCCCCAAAGAACGATTGAGAGTAAAATGTAACACTTCAAGTGAAGAATTCTACCCTTTGTTTACAGAAAGAAGATCAATATGAATATTTATTTTCTTCTAAATCAATCAGCAAAATTTAAATAAAGTCTTTACCCTCTCACTTGAACCTGTTTCTTCTTGATTGGTTTCCATGGTAATATAGTGGTAAGTTACAATTCATGGTGTTTCTCTAGACAGACTTTTCTAGACCTTTAAGTGCCAAGCACTCCTATGTAGAGATTTCTTGATGTGAAAAAAAAAAAAAAAAAAAAAGCAGCCAACATCTTGAAATTTGAGACTTTAAAAAAAGTGGGTGCTCTTGGTTTTTTTGGTTTTCATTTAAATTAAGGACTGAGCCAGGGCAGCTGGGGAGATAGCTGGGCAGACTAAGTGCCTGCCTGGCAAGCACAAGGACCCAAGTTCGATCCCCAGTACTGCATGCTGTGCCAACCCTGTGCTGAGCCGGCCACTGAAACCCGGCATGGTGGCACATACCTGTAATCCTAGCACTGGGGAGGCTGAGACGAGAGAGGAGGATCACTGTGTGTCTGAGCTGCGTAGTGAGACCCTGTACCAAGTAAATAAATAAATTTTAAAAAGGACCAAGATCATCCCAGTACCACAAGAAGAAAGGATATGCTCTTTCGTTATTTTTAAACATTCGACCCCTGTTTATCAGAGATATTAATGTCCTGAGTTAGTTTTCTCTGTGCTGTTGTTTCTTTCTACCTGTTCCTAGTCACAAGCTCTGGAGGGTCCCGATCCCATCACCACCACTTTACCAGTTCTCTGATCCCGTCGTACCTGTCCTGCTCAGCTCTCTGAAGCCCAAGACGTAGATGGGGCGCCAGCTGTGGGAGCACACCTCTGTGCTTCAGCGCTGAGCTGCATCATGGTGACCTGGACGCCTCAGCCGCCGGTGTCAGGAGCCTCGTCCCACCCCACTTCCCCCACCCCAGCCAAGTAGCAAGAGCTCCCTCGCGTCCCCTGAAGACCTAGGTCTCCGTGGTGCTTCTGAGCTAGAGCCCCTCTAGGCAAAAGGCTCATCACTGCCAAGCCTTCTTGTCCCCGTGGGTGACAAGAGACCTACCTACAGATGAGGGGAGCGTGGTCCACATTGGAGAATCAAGTACAGGCTGGTGCTGCATCCTGACAGGTGACTGTGTCCAGTGAGAGGCAGGAGCACCCGGGGACCCACACGCCACGGCGCAAGCTGGTGCCCCAGGGCTGTGTTCTTGCCAAGGTGCTGGCTTTTCCTAATTCTGGGAAAGCTGTACTAGTGGAGGATCAGTTCATCACACCAGAGAAGAGCCCATCACTCGAAGTAGCGGCGTCCCGTACCCCTCCATGCTCCAGTCTGGCTCAGCATGCTGATTTGAGGACCAAGGACACTGTCCTATGGGATGGAAGCCTCGGGGTGTCTTTCATTCATTCCTGCTTTATTCCTGGGGCCGGGGAGATGACTCAGTGGAATAAGCACTTCCCTTTATTCCAGAACCCTCTGCAGATTAGTACAGGGTTCACAGGGTCCCAGTACACAGATTAGACTTGTAGTGATCTGCCTGTTTTCAGCCTCCCAAGTGCTGGGGTTCCAGGCATGCGCCACCACGCGCAGTCTCCATCACTGTCTCAGCGGGCCTCAGGGGTGGGCCTGGCACAGCGTGCCAGGGATCGAATGCCCGTCTCTGCATCTGCCTCAGCAGGCACTTTAATCCGCTGAGCTATCTGGCCAGCCGCCTCTGCAAATAAGAATGGGAATGTGACAGTGTATAGCTGACGTCGCACTCATTTCAGTTTGTGTAGGTGTGACAAAAACATCAATCGATATTCCTCTCATCATTTTCCAAATTATATTTTGAGGGCCACTGGTGTGCGGGACGTCAACCTGTAAAATAAGAACAAAACAATCTCTTGGCTGAATGTGCTTGGGGTTTCTTTGTTGCCGGGCGTCTCAGTCCCTTTACAATTCTTCTGTGCTAAGAAACCTCCGAGAGGACTGGTGTCATTCTCCCCTCTGGGCAGTCCCGGGGCGTGGCCTGTGCAGGAGGAGCCTTGCGCCTCGATACCCGGGCCAGGCGGGACGTTGTATGGAGTACAACTCAATTTTCAGATTTGCAATCCGTGCCCAGGCAGGTGGAAGGGCTTGCCAGAGATGGCATGCACTGTTAGTTTCAAAGGTTGAGTCAGAAATCAGGACGCCTTCACATCTGGTGCTATTATTTTATAATCGTGTCTACAGTTTTTCTTATTTTGTACCATGCTTTTGGATATCTTCACCCTTGGGTGAATTATATGGACTCAGGTATGAACGATGAATGTGTGTTTACACATCTTAGGTAGATGAATGGCGTTTTCTTTTTGTAAAATTGATCTTCTAAAACCCTAGTCCTTCCACTCTGCATATGTAAGGACCCTGGTAAATAATTCTAAACTACAACTGTGTCCTTCTAACTATTCATTTTGGCTGCAGAGCACAGGGACACTTAATGGCATTTTTTAAACATAGGAAAATCAATTGTAAAGATTATTTTTTAATTAATTAATTATTTTAGTACAGGGTCTCACTATGCAGCTTGCACTCATCGAGACCTTCCTGTCTCAGCCTTCCCAGCGCTAGAAGTCCAGATGTACCCCACCATGCCCAGCTTTGGTGGCCAGCTCAGCATGGGGCCGGCAGGGCATGCAGTGCTGGAGATCAAACCCGGGTCCTTGCACTTGCCAGGCAGGCTCTTGGACCCGTGAAATATCTCCCCAGCCCTAAAGATTATTATTAAAAAACAAAAATAAAAAACATAGGCCATGGGGGCCTGCTGGTTAGCTCAGTTATTTAAGCACCTGCTTACACAAATGCAGTCAGGTGCAGGATACTGTGGTTTGACCCCCAGCTCCACATGCCTTACCAGACTTGCTCTTAAGACAGTCTGAGCCAGCCCCCACTACAAAAAAAAATCCTTCGAGACTGGGCAGGGTGGCGTGCGCCTGTAATCCCAGCTCTTGGGAGGCTGTAAACAGACGGATCACTACGAGTCTGATCTCGTAGTGAGACCCTGAAACCCTGAACACCCTGTAGACCCTTCCCTAAAATACAAAAAAGAGAGAGAGAGAGAGAGAGAGAGAGAGAGAGAGAAAACAAAACAAAACATAGGCCATGTTGAAATATAAAAAAATTCCAATGCCCAAATACCATTAAAGAAAGTTCTAACACGAATTCAATGAAGAGATGAAATATTTTTTATTAAATACAAGTTTCAATGCGCTGTTGAAACATTTCAGGTGATATTTACAGCAGTATGTTTGATGTCCCTTCTCACACTGGAGGACTGCTGTCGCTATTCAGGCCTATGGAAGGTTTTCAACCTCCCTCTAGAGGTGCGAGCCCTGGGCAGCAGGGCCCACGGGTGTGTTGGGACTCGGTGCTGCATGGTGTAATGTGCCACCTCTCAAGATTTCCATCAGAAGAAGGTTTTTAGCAGCTGGGCTCGCAGCAGCTGGGCTCACAGCAGCTGGGCTGGCAGCAGCTGGGCTGGCAGCTGGTGGGCTGGCAGCAGTGGCAGCAGCAGGCGGGGCGGCAGCAGGACTGTCCACAGTAGGACGGGCGGCAGCAGGAGGCCTGGGCATGGTGCAGCTGGCAGCAGGTTGGGGGCGTGCAGCTCACCACGCAGCAGGGTGGCAGGCAGGTGCCCTCCACGCGGCAGTCTGGACGACACCACCTGGTGCGGCAGCTCACGGCGCCGGCACCGCTGCCACCCTCCTGGCCACAGCTGGTTCCACAGCAGCTGGTCTGGGAGCAGGTTGGCTGGCAGCAGCTGGGCTGGCAGCAGCTGGGCTGGCTGCAGCTGGGCTGGCAGCAGCTGGGCTGGCTGCAGCTGGAGCCGCAGTTCCCGCTGGTGGAGCAGCTGGGAATCCCGCAGAAGCTGGTAGCGCAGCAGGCCATGGTGGGAGGAGCTGGTGTGAATGAGGGGTGTGTTGTTACGAGGAGTTCCTGGATGGTGGCTGTTCAGCTCTCCTCGAGCCTTTTATACGCCACGGCCGGGGTGGGTCTGTGACAGGGGCATTTTTGTCTTATTAGTCCTCCAAGTAGCTTCTCTAGGGTCCTCTGCCCAAATGCTGAGTTACTCTAAATAAATCTCCAAATTAGTTTGTCCTTGTGACTCAGCTAATCTTCGTGAAATATATGCATTCTTGGTAGAAACGTCCATGCCTCATGCCCAAACTATGCTGTAATTTCCACTCAGGCCTCAGAGTGAGTCTTCTGTGTTTGAGCTTGGAGCACCTGACCGGTGACTGTCACCATGAAGAAGGTGTGAACTGGGGGGTCCTATTTGTCAAGGCTCAACTCTCTGGAAAAGAATCGCAGGTCATGGATGACCCTCCACGCAAGCCTGTTTCTAGTTTCAGGTTGACAAGCTATCGTCTCTGCCATCAACCAGGTAGACTCAGATAGCCTCCATATTCCTGGAAATTCCCAGACCTCTGCACGCACATCACGGTCTCTCCGATCTCTCCTGAACCTCAGACACCCACACTTCAGGAAATGTTTATCACTCGGGACACAAATGGGACAAAATTTGTTTCATTCCAGTTTAATTTTGAAAAGCTGTGAAAATTCATAAGCAGCCACGGGAAAAGCCACACAATATTAGCAGTGAAGTTTACGCTTCTCTGCTAGATGGATCATTTGCCAATATTTCTCAAAGGTGGGGACTTACTTTGTGGACATGGTGTCGGATGTCGCTGTAGTGTATATCCTCTTACATACTTGCTCAATGAAAAAGGAATTAGGAAATCCTTTTTCTGCATCAAAGTGTTTGTAAATCACGTTAAGAAGTAGGTGATCAAATAGGATTCAGTTGGTGGAAAGATCAAGATAAATTCCAGCCAAAGAAAAGTCAAAACAATTTCTGGTAGTTGCCAAATGAAAAGATGTGATTTTTTTTTTCCTCACTGAATATTTAGGGTCACTTGAGGGGAAATGAAAAAAAAAATAGTGTTCAGAAAACAAAATGTTGATCTTCTCTCAAAGAGAAGCATAGAATCATCCTTTTATGAGGTGGAGGTAATGGTTTATGCAGCAAAGTCTTATTCTAGAATATGATTATGTGTAGTCACTGAGTAATTATTCATATTGGAGGTGTAGAAATTGGCCTCAGCCCTGGAGCCTGTGTTTATTTAATTCCTCTGTGCGTGGAGCACTGAAGCGTGACATAGGAAGCAGGACCTTGCTTTCTCCTTTGTCTTGCTCCAGTGCACGCCTCAGGTGGTGCCAAGAGGGGATCAGTCAAGGGTAGGAATCAAGGCTCGGAACCCTTTGAGCCTCCACCCTCGAAGTTCACAGTCGGAACACTGGTGCATGACAGGCACGGCTGTTAACTGTCCTCGGGATTAGTAGGTGCTGGAATCCTACGGGGCCAGGAAGGCGCGCATTTGGGAGAAGTTACATGATTTTCTGCACTCACACAGTGAGCAGCCAGAACTGCTGGGGATACAATCCTCTTTAGACCAGCCCTTTCATTCTACACCACGCTGCTTTCCAGATTCACTGACTCTTAGTAAAACCGTCTTTCTCCTTTGAGTTTGAAAACAGTGTAATGACAGTGAAGTGGTAGGCAAGGCACATTATGAGTGGTGACTTTTAAACACAGTAACTAGATGTAAATATGCTAAAATTCTTTTGTTCTAAGCACCAAAGAGTTTTCCAAGAACCACAATAAGTCACATTCCACAATAAGTCACGTTTGTTTCCAGCTTCTCATTTCTTTTTTTTTTTTTTGTAATTAGTACAGGGTCTACAGGGTGGCATTGCGTAAATCCGACTCATAGTGATTCTCCTGTTTTCAGCCTTCTAAGAGCTGGGATTACAGGTGCACGCCACCACGCCCAGTCTCAGTCGCTGTCTCAGCGTGTCCCAGGGGCACAGCCGGCAGGGCACTGGGCAGAGATGGGGGGATCAAACCCTGGTGGCTGCGCTCTGCCTAAACAGGTGCTTTAGTCCGCTGAGCTATCCGGCCAGCCCATCATTTCATCCTTCAACTCAGTTAATACCATCTGGGTGTGAATGTCTGCCCAAATCAGTATGGTTCCTTGTCCTCTGGCCTTCCCCTCAGCCCAGTCCCTGTACGCAGCTTGGACGGGGACAACAGCCTCCTGGTTAGTTTATGCGTAGCTGTGGCTTTTGTAGACTTGGGTCTTCTGTTTTTAGGCGGCGTTTCCCTGAGCATCACCCCAGCATCAGCTCTTCTCCTGCCGCTTCCTGGCCCCAGCTCCCCACGGCTCTTTGTGCTTACTGGCCTGCTCCCTTGGCCAATAATCGAAGCATACACACTCTCTAATTTATTTTCTGCCCCTACTTAGGACACACCCAAAGTCCCCATCGAGAGCGCCCTGGCAGCTGCGGTGGCGTCTCCTCCGAACCTCTCCCCTTGCTGGGAATGCCCATGTCCTTCTGACCCGGACACCAAAGTCCTAACTCACGCACAAGGCTAGTTCTCATTCATTGTTATTTTCCCCATCAACAGTGACTTCTCCGTGGGCATGCTGCGTCTTAAATTTTATATCCATTTTATTTTTAAGTGTTTAACGTATTTGAGTATGCGCTCACAGGGCATAATGAGCAGTTGTGGCGAGGAGCCTGCTGTGTGCCTAACGCCTCAAGGCTCTTTGGCTTCTCCTCCTCCCACCCTGCGCGCTCCCTCTCACTCCCGAGCCCCTTCCTGCTTGAAAAAGCTCAAGCCCTGTTTCCCCCTCAGTTCTCTCTTTTGAAACTTTAATCCCTCCCCTCCCTCCAGCTCTTGTCCTTCCACAGGTTGGCCTTGACTCATCCCCTCAGAGGTTTTCTTTTCCTTTTTCTTTTTTATTGTAGTTGGTACAGGGTCTCCCTGCGCAGCTTGGACTTGTAGTGATCCTCCTGCCTCAGCTACCCCAGCGCTGGGATTGCAGGTCACCATGCCTTGTCTTGGTGGCTGGCTCAATGAGCCCAGGGTGGGGCCAGCGCAGCTGTGGTGCTGGGGATCGAACCTTGGTCCCTGTGTTTGCCTAAGCAGGTACTTAGTCCACTGAGCTATCTTGCCAGCCCTCTTTGCTTGTTTCTTAAGAGGGGAACATTTTTGGCTTAGCTGGAAAGTCTCTGGCACACCAGGCAGGTTGTGATTAACAGACAGTAGGCCATCAGCCTCACTTAAAAAAAAATTGATGTATTTAGTACAGGATCTGCAGGGTCTCACTACGTAGATCAGGCTTGTAGCGATCCTCCTGCTTTTCAGCCTCCCAAGCGCTGGGTTGCAGGCGTGTGCCACCATTCCCAGTCTCAGTCCCCCTCCCAGTATGCCCCGGAGGTGGGCGGGCATGGGATGAGGATTGAATGCCTGGCCTCTGCACCTTGTTTAGACTGTATGGAAATTTGTTTTTATATTGAAATTGAATGAAAACAAAATTACCCTGAGTAAATAAAACCCAAGTGGTGTGTGGGAGGGCAAAGAAGAGAAGTTTATTAAAAACTACACACCCCGTCAGACCTTAGACACAAAATGGGAGGAAAAATGTTACTTCTACAGGAAGAGAGGAAGCCAGCCCAGGGCGTCCTAGATGAGCCGGCGTGGACGTGGGGTCCTGGTAGGCCTGGCAGAGACTTCTTCAGTGGAGAGAGGGGACCCCCATTGTGCAGGAGCTCTATGCTTGCCTGCTGCAAGGCTCAGCAGCAGCAGGGGTCCAGGCTGGGGCCCCTGCAGGTCACGCGGCAGGGCGCGGGCTGGCAGCACGGGGGCCGGCAGCACGGTGCCTGCACGGTCACGGGCTGGCAGCAGGTGGACGCCCAGCAGCAGGGCCTGCACACCACGGCCGTGCACGACGACGGGCAGCAGGTGATGGGGCGGCAGCAGCCCTCCTGCAGGCCGCAGGGGTCGCAGCACACGGGCCTGGGGCAGGGCTGGCAGATGGGGCGCGTGCAGCGGGGCACGCAGCTCACGGGCCGGCACACGGTGGTCT